CGAGGATCAATAATATTCGGATATAAATGATGTTAATGTAGAAAAAAGAAAATACTTTCGGTGAGAATATCCAGAATGATATGAGATCAGGCTAGATAGTATGAACGAAGAAACACGTTATGATATTGATAACGTCCAAAATGAGTGACACTAGTAACTACGATGCCAAACAGAATAATGATGTTTTATTGAATACTGAATATGATATCAATTTTATACTCACCTCGAAACAGCTTCCATCGCTTCCAGTGTGCAATCAACGAATTTGAATCGTTTGTTATTATTAGTCGATGACCCAAACGTAGCTTTTGTCAAATTGCCCTGACTAAACGCTGTCGAACAATCAGATTTGCTGCCACGTTTTGCTGGATTTCTACCGACTGAGTTGGCCAGCTGATTGTCAGCCAACTTCGAGCTATTCGCACCAGTTCTGCTCTTCCCATTTACAAACACCAATGGCTTGGTGGCACTGATTCGGCCGTATGACCAATCCGGCTCCAGAGTTTTCTGCAGTTTTGAGCCACTCTTTGGATTCCCCATCGATGATGTAGACGCGGTGGCTGGTGAGGCGTTATTAGTACAGAGAGTTACCGGATCAGAACAAGTCGATAGTGATGATAGACTGCTATCAGCAGAATCAGTGAAGTGACGGGACTGGGTTCGAGTGTCGCCAGTGAATTGGTTGGGAATCATTGTGAGCATTGATGGTGATGATTGGAAAGTGAAAAGTTTGCCTAGGAGAGCCGGAGATACGGATTGATTCGAAGCGTAATGCTTGTGCAGATGTGGCACCAAACGTTCGATGTTACCAAAGCCTTGCTCACAGAAATTACAGTGGTAATGCATTCGTTTCTTGAGTTTACAAAACGGACGTCCACAGTGATGCGTTAGTGCACACGCTGATGAGGATGACGGAGTTGAAGAGGTTGTTGGGCATGGTAACGTTGACGTGGAGCACGAGGTACCTTGCTAAAAACAATTCACAAACATTCCAATACTTTAAATCACAGCAGAGTTACATTTCTATAAGGATAAAGACATATTTCTATAGTGACGTTCCAGATCCATGATGGATAAACTCAACTCAAAGTATCAAGGTATCATCATTGAATTGGAAAATTGTCAATATTAGAGATACACTCTCAAATATCTTAAAGTAATGAAGAGCACCGTGGATGATTGAAACTGTGTTAAGAATAAAATTTATGTAGAATTTTAATGAATAAAACGGCGCTAAATTATTGTATTTTAACGTACTGCTGCGGTCAGCAATAGTCCATTTGCTGCAGATGTTGGAGTCTGAAATGAGATGCACATGAGTATTTAGAGGAAGATTGAGTTGATCATGTTCTGCAGTGCATCGTTAAGGGATACAAAAAAGCTCCGGACAAACACATAACTGAATCTGGTATTGTTATGAGAAAAATAATTTGTGAAAATATTTGGAGGCACAAACCTCTGGATTTGAAACGAGCGCATCCGAGGCATTGGGGTTGATCAACTTCAAACCCACATCATTTTTTGATGATCTGGAAGTGAATCGAAACAGGTGTGAGAATAAATGACTATGTTATTTGACAATAAAACGGAAAATAAATCAGTATTGCATGAAAACAATAACTATTCTAATGATACAAAAGAATCTATGAAAATTGTTTACGGAAACGGCTTCTTTTGAAATTTGCAATTTCTCGATGTTTTTTAAGGAAAACTTTAGAAATTTCTTACTTTTTGCTCGA